TATGATATACTCTAGCACATTCTACTTATCTATTAAAACATTTAGGAGTAAAATGATATTATACAAATTATCAAGTATCTTCAGAATACTGCCAATTTAATGACAGGCTTCTTATGTGTCCATTTTTACATTAGGAGCTAGAGTACTCTATCTCTGTCCTTTGATGACTATGCTAGCCAAATTGTAAGAGCCTTTATATGAGCCTTTCTGCAGTCTTAATTTTCTACTTTAGACTTTGTCCATAGTAGTCTTACTTCTAGTTTCTGATTGTCTGCTAGATTTCCTGTGCTTTCAGATTCCAAACTTTTGTCTTTTAGCCCTCAGAGGTTAAGGGCACATACTTGGATAAGAGGTGCAGCACATGAGTTAAAGCCAAGCTCTTCAAATCTGACTCTTGAGCATGTTCTTAATAGTATGCATAAGACTCTCTTTTTTAATAGAAAGTAAGATACAAACCTAAGGACAATAATGTTGAAATAGACTTTCATAGATTGAAACACTGCCTACTAGGCTGAAACAAATCTAATAAATTATTCAGAAACCAGAACATTTCATAATACCTTCATATAAGACTATACAAGAAAAGAACAACAAACTAAATCCTTCCAAGAATTCACTAATTATCTCCTATTAAAACTAGAAAAGTTGGAGACCATGGACTTAAGGACTGGCAAGAAGTCTTACTATGTATAATAGTATTATCATTCTACATAACTTCATATAAGACCCTCAAGTAATAAGACAGTGAAGATATCTAAATAGGGAAATAATACAGATATAGACACAGAATGGAAATAGGTTCAGAGGTAGGTATAGATGAATTCTGAAGATGCAATAGGAATAGAGACTGGGATAGATATGAACCAAAGTTCCAAAGAAGGAGATATTTGGATATTTGATTAGAAGAAAATATGTTCAAGATGGAATATACAGAGGGTAAAAGGAGTAAGCTAGCTATGGAGATCCAAAGGTTCAGAGATTATGTATAGAATTGGGACAGAGGTAATAGGGCTGATCCTACTGAGATATAAAGAGGTCCTTAGTTTATAGGTGAAATTCAGCTTGAAATTCATCAGGCAGGATATAGAGATTAGACAGAGAATAAGTCTAGAATATGAGTTATGATATTGGTGAAATATTAAATAAGAACCAGGTGGAAAGCTTATAGTTTTCTTTCTTCAGCTTCTCAAGAAGTGTCTAGGTTTTCAAATTGAGCATATTAAGGAAGTAGTAGTAATGTACTTCCATTGTATCCTGCTATCACCTAGGTAAGAAACGACAAAGGTGCTACTGCATAACATCCATGATAAAGTCATGTACAAGTTGAATGAACTTGGTGATATCATGAAACTACAGTTATTCTATAAAATCACTCATAATGTGAGATATTGCTAGGTATAAATGGATACATACTACATTAATAGAAGCAATAATATTAAGCTTCAATAATCAGTCAACTCCATGTTCATCTAAAAGTACTACTTAGTGCTCACTATTATTTATATATCTAATATTACATCTATCTCATTCTGGTATACTAGCAAGAAGTATTTGAAGTGATTAAGGATAGGTTTATTTTACATGACTATCATTTTTTTCATCAATTTAGGCTAGTGTTCATTTTCTTCTTGTTACTCATGAATGCATTTTAGAATAACCTCAGATCCTAGTTATCATAACTCTTTTGAATCAATAGGAAGCATTAGGAGTGCTAATATATTCAGTCCAGTGTCAGATCAACCTAGAATTGTAATATCACCTTCTCAAGTTGATTAGAATAGTAATATCCAAATAACTACAAGTGGGTTTTTGTGCTATTTGCCATCTGGTTTATATTTTAACCAGCATTAACAAAAGGTTCTCAGCTGATAGATATACTAAATTATTTGAAGGCTAAGGTGGACCAAGCAATTCAGTCTTCAAATAGGCTCACAGAGAGTATTAAGGATGTAGAAGAGAGAGTTACCACCCATGTCACTGAATTCATAATCTAGAAGACTGAAATCAAGGCTGATATCAATGCTCACAACAAAGCAATCTCCTCAGAAATCAACAAAGTGCAGGATGAAATGTAAGCAATGAAGAAGCATCTGAGCAATAGGCTTAATGAATTAACTGCATCCTAGCAGACTTTTTTATATAGAATCTTGAATTTATTCAAGCAATAATAGTAGCTATAGCAATAGTGATATGTTCAAAGATGTTATACTAGGATTGCTGTGCATTAGAACATGTAGCAAAGGTTTTCCATCCCATAAATCCTCACCTATATTATATAATAGATGGAAGATAGGTGTCCCTTTTATTAAACACCATTAAACCTAAATATATTAGACATTGAATTTTACATTGCCCAATATAATGAACACAATAATAAAGAAGATGTTAAACTAACTAGTATATCCTTCCCTAAAGTTGGACTATCCTCTGTCTATGCTGCTATATCTAAATAGACATGTTCAACTATAAAGAGAATTGCTACTAGAACAACCAAAGATATGTACAATCTGTATGTGCACTAAGTATAGGAAAATAGCATATAGGTATGTGTAAGGTGTAAGAATAGATGTGAGGTGGAAATAGAAATGCTAAAATGATGTTGTTACACAGAGCCTTGCAGTGGCTGACAAACCTATATTTTAAAACTGTTTGGTCACAATGCATCTAAATGTAATAAAGGCAGACATACCTTCAACTCACGATCTGTCATCTTATATTCATAACTCATCAATCTTATTAAGAATTTTGAGGCCAAAATGTAGGTGGATACTAGTATCACTCTATATTATTTTAAGGTGTCTTACAGAAAATTTACAGGCTAAAACAACTGACCATGTTTCATCAACAACAGACTTATGGTCTGTTGACCAGACAAAGGCTGCATATTTAGGCTTAACTGCTTACTAAATCAAGAGGAACACCTCAGGCAATTGGACACTTGTTAGAGATATATTTGAGGCACATAGTGGGCACAATCTTGGATGATATCTTATGGGATTATATAAGTGTATAGTAATTATCAAAGGGCAGTTAAGTAAGGTATGTGCTTCACCATCTAGGTTTTAATCTCTGTATACTGAGCTCTTGGAAAAGCTTTTCTGTATTACCGCTAACAATACTAGCAATAATAACACCACTTGCAACAACATCAAGATGCTACTTCACCACTGCCATATATACAACTTCAATACCACTCAACACTATCTTCCCTGCCTTGCCCATATGGTTAATCTCACTATCACTGATGTTATGTCAGTTGTCACACACATTACCAACATCAAGACTACAACTGCAATCTGGGAGTTTGATTCATCACTCCCTAATAATCATTTTCTTAGAGACTTGCTTGATGTTATGGCTGTAGTGCATATACTTGCCATTAAGATATGCTCTAGTACTACTTATAATTTCTATCAACTAACATATCTTATAGATTCAGTCCTCAGTGCAATACATCAAATATTTTGAAACCTTGCAAATTAAGTGTGGTATCCTGATGCCACTCAAAATCTCCTTCTACAGTAATGTACGCTGGAGAACTGCTAATGAGATGCTTGAATGCACCTATCATCTATGGCAGGTTATCAATCTTTTTATCTCCTCTGCTAATAAGCTTTTTGGGCCAATTACATCCATCTGATGCTATGGACAGGTCACTAAGCACATCCCATAGACTGCATATACACTTAGAACATTGGACTGGGAGTGTATGAATGATGTGTGAACCATAATCTCAGTAGGTCACAACTAATTTTTCTTTAAAAATATTAACTAAGATTTTTAGGATGGTAACAATATATAACAATACTTTACCTCTAAATGACAACCAACACTATAATGAAGTAGTTACAGACAGCTTAGGAAGCAAAGAGCAAGCTTTTACAGTTTGCACTGTACAAGGAAGCCATCCAGAAGGGTCTTGCCAAAATCAAAAAATATTATAGCAAATTTAATAATAAGCCTATCTACATTCTTACCCTTGGTATGTCTATCATATCATGTTGTATTTTTGACTAATTAAATTTGCAATACTGCACTCATACTATAAACTCGCATACATTACAATGGCTTGGGGCGGTTCTGAAGAATAAGCCAAGAAATGAGCTGCAGGAAATCTGCATGCCAAAAATTGGTATGATGAAGCTCTCAAGATAGTTGAAATGACAATGGTAAAGTATTATGCCACACATAAACCACTCACCAGTACTATCAACTGTGACTCAATAGTTGAGACTGTCAAAACCATTGAGTCTAAATATAATCATCATCACTATGTGTTAGTTCAGCAGACAATCCAAGAGCAGAATTCTGGATGAGTGGCTGAGCTTTATTGTTATCTCAAGGACATGCCAGAATATGTTACCAAAGATACAGATATTATCTAGTGGTGGTCAGTGAGTATGTCTAATATGTCTCAATGAATTTTTTTATCTCACTTTACACAGAAATATTTGTTGATCTATCCTATCCTTGTGAGAATTGTGATGAATGTTTGTATGATACTGGTATCTTCAGTTCTGTGCAAATGACTGTTTTTAGCAGGCACAAAGATTGCAACAGATCATTGCTCACAACTTAGGACTGACAAATTTGAGCAACTTCAGATCCTCAAGCATGCATGACAAGATTCTATTGTGGATAGGGCTATGTCTAATTCTTTAACTACACAGGAAGTCTTACTGGAGGAATTTAAGAAGCTCTTGTCCTTTGACAAGAACATGGCTGAGTGGGACCATAATGAGGAAGAGATAGTCATTGTGTAGTTTGCATTTCTTACATGTTTTAGTATTAGATGTTTGTTGTGTCAATATGCAACCATTTCACTCCCAACTAGTTGCAACTAGTTTTTGACTAGTCTTAAATTTCTTGTCAATGTCAAACAACCAAAACCAGAGTTAGCAAAATGTAAGGCAACTGCAACCACAGTCCAGTTGCAACCATTCACAGTCTAGTCTAGTTGCCAGTTTCTTTTGATCCAGCAACTGAACTTTAAACACTACTCAGAATCAGCTAATCTGCAACTATTTCAGAGCCAATATTTCATTTCTGAAGCCAAGGTAGACCAATTCAAGGATGACATTCAACATCAAACTAGTGAATTCTTTATAGTAGACTCAACAATATCGAGTGCTTGTATAGAGAACTGGACTACAGCCAAAGCTGTGGACAATGATGAAATTACTGTGTTTGATCAGACTGGGATTTTTCTTTTAGCATATCATTACAGGCTTATTGAGTGTGTAGCTGAGATGAAGCATAGTAGTGAACTGTACACATTTTAACTCTCATTTGTACTATGCTAATTGTTTACAAATGGTGCAAAATATAGTCTTGCCATAGTTAATAGACTGCTTAATGTCTGCAGCGTGGATCAGGCTATCAGATACGACATTGCATGTTCATTTTGCAAAACAATTGCAACAAGTTCTATCGGAGCCAAGGTAGCTGAGCTAAATCTACAGAATGTTATAAATACCTTCCATGGCTTTTCTCATGACTGCCACTATCAGCTTCAAAATCACCCTTTATATCTCAATGGCCTAAGACTTGAAGACCTTAAGACTTATGAATACATCTTCACTAGTTTAAACAGTGTTGTAGTTTTGATCAGACATGTGTCATACTTCCATTGGATGCAGTTCCTTGACCTCCACTTTAATCAGTGGAATATGAACAGATACTTTGACCTCAGTATGTCTTTTTGAGCACCTAACAGTAATAGTTTTTGACAATTCCAGGTATATTTATTTACAATAACTAATATGCCCTTTCTTGAGGAATTCAAGCAGCTCTATAATTTTATAGATGTGGACCTCATAAGCTAACACAATAAAAAACATGATTACCTCAGCAAGGTTGCTATAGAACCTACTTCAGATGCAATCACAGTGGCTTACATTGAACAGCTTGAGAAGCTTCAATATGCAGAGTTCATCTTTGCACTCTGTTTATTTATTTAGTTCTCATTGCATATTTTAGAGCAACATATGGCTATCTTACTTCCATACCTTTTCTGACATACACTCCTGCAAATTTTGCTCATACCCCTGGGCTCAATGCCACTGCTCACAACAATTCTAGAGCATTTGAATCTGAACATGCATTTGTACTATGCAAATATGAGCTGCAATTAAATGTTGTTGAAGACTTCAAGCATCGTCATAGCATTATGGAGCAGTGGCTACTGCATGACTCAAAATATGTACAAGTAGTTGATATCCTCAGGAATATCAATTCATTCATTTGGTTGAAGAATTGGAGAGCTTAGTTGTTTGGCATCTTTTTGAGTTATCAAAGGCTAATCTTACCAGGCACTGGTAGGCACTTACTAGACATTAAGATAAGTGATGTACTCATGGACTACTACAGGCCACAACATGCAAATGTATATCTCAAAGACCATTACATAATGTTCAGCTGCTATCCAAACAGCTTTAGAGAAGTATAATGGACTTGCACTCTTACAAAATCCACTATGTTCTATATTTGACTATTCCAAAAATTGTTGAATATGCATCTCTTGGTGAATTCTCAGTTCTGAAACACTCACACCACAATATCCTTACAAAACCATGAATTGTATCTACTAATCATAAAATGGCCGCAAAGTATTTCAAATTGATATGATTACACAAAGAGATTGTATAGCTCAATGTTGAGATCAAATGCTTACAGAGTTGGGTTGAGTATGAGGACAGGACCATGTTGGAAGCTATTAATTCACTCCTTGCTGAGCTAAAGATATTGCATGTCAAGCGCCACCATATCAACAACAACCATTGCAAGTGACTTCAACAAATTTACATACTCAACAGATACATAGGTGAACATCTTCCTACAGACCATACAGTCATTGCACCCAATGAAGACAGAGATGATGAGGGTAGCATGAATGATCCTGAAGATGATGCTATGAATGAGGAGGCTATGAGACTTGAAGATTTAATGTTGTATTCTTTGTAACTTTCATACTGTTAATTCTATGTCACATTGCTTCAATCATAGATTCCTGTGTTCTACCATTCATATTGGCATTGCAAACTCTATTATCAAAACTAAGACTTCAGAAGCAAGTTGAGCTCTGCGCTGATCCTTTCTAACACATTCAATTGTCAAAGCCCTATTTGGAAATCCTACTAGAGCTCTAGCTAGGAAAACAATACTACTCATTATAACTAATTTACATGATAATACAAACAATTAGGGACAGGATCCAGCTCAACAGGGAACGAGTGAGGTGACATAGATAACATTAAGTAAGACAACAAACTCATCTTACTTCTTGACTGCACTCACTTCACTGTTGTCTTATTCAATGTTGTCTATGTTACCTTACTTATTCCCTGTTGAGCTGTATTCTGTCCCTAATCATCTGAATTATCTTGATCTGTAAGGAGAAATTGTAAGTTTATCATTTAAATGATTTAAGCTACTGTTGAATCTGTTTTTCAAGAAAGATCACTTTGATATAAAACTATCAGCAGCATTCAAGTTCTTAAGGAAACCAGGACACTTTTGCACATTCCCTTATATCATTACCACTGTTTCATCTTCTTGTCCCCTTGAGACCAAGGCTAAGATGTCCACAGTGACAATTATTCATGATATCTTGCTTAGTTAGTTGGCTTGTGCCACTTGTCTATTAGCACTGGTTCTGCTAGGATAAGGTCAAACTACTCAAAAGAATACTTCACTTCCTGTGTCCAAGGGCCATAATCTTGAAACAAATGGAGTCACAAAGCAGCATCCTACATGTGTCATACAGCCTAACGACACTGGTTATCATGACCATATACTACCTGGTAGCACTGACCTGCACCAAACTGGTTTAGTGCATAGACAACTAATATTTTTTCATAAGCTTTATACCCAAGAAATCACTACTATAAAACTATTTTCCTTTTGATCTAAAGTCAGACTGAGGCTAGGCATTATTTTTTTAAATTTTTTCTTCACTTTTTAAGTTTGTATACAAGTAGACTAAATATTTTTGTATATTTAATTCTGCAATGAGTTTTGCTTAGTCAGCTATGAGGATGACTCAGAAAGATTCTCACACATATCAGGTGACTGTGAAAAATATGTTTGTGTAAGGTTACCCTATGGGAAAGCTTACAAATCTTTAAATACATGTTCTATGACATTATGCTATCAATCAATTCATTAGCCACAGATTTCAAACACATATGGACACATTATGTAATAATTTCTCACTTTTTTTCTAGCTAAGTCATCGAGGAATCACTTGACCTATGGGTCATGCACAGCTCCTGCTGATTTGTCATTATATCACTTGAATATTTACTTTTGACTTAAATACCATATAACTTAGTACTGCCAAACTAAAGTTACAACTTTAACTGTGAGAAACTAGTAGTACAGCCACTAATTTGTCTATATAAGGAGCTGCTTTGTGCCTAATAAAAAGAGAGCCCCCAGTGTTTTTTTATCCTCTCAGAATAAAATTATAAGTAAGGTGTGAATTAGCATTCAGCAAGTGCAGTTCAAGGTTGGAGCTCACTGTGTCTGACAACTAGCAAGACTAGTTTTCTTTTTTTTATTTCTCCTGATTGTTTTTCTGTTTTTCTTTCTTTCTTTTTCTCTCTGTGTCTGTGTCTTCTCTGTGATTGTCTCTATTTTTGTCTCTCTGAAATGGTGTCTGTTGTTACAATCACTCGTGAGCCCCCTCTCTGCTACTCTTTCCTTGATCATGAATGACTGACATGGCTTTTGTGCCAGACAATAACCAGATCCTTGTTCTGCTAAGTCCCCAAGCTTGGCAGTTATAATCCGCTGTAGGACTTGGAGTCCTTGTGGCCTCGTAGAGGTCTATTTTCTGATGCATGTTGAATGCTAATCATTACCCAAATCATTCCCTATCATATCTGACTCAATACACACCAAACCCGAAAAATATCGGACATCAGACATCGGGTTTCACATCGGTCGATCGGATATCGCACGTACTCATCCTACCTATGTCCAGTCTCATTGTGCTAGCCCCACTAGGTGCGTAGTTACTTGTTTTCACATCCCTAACATTGTCGACCACGTTATTACATGTATTCCCATAGTCCACAGTACCTCATGTCTTATTACATAGGACATCAGACCCGAAATATTGCACTACTACTTTTGCCTATAAGGTTCTGGATTTCTATGTATCTACATAAATATTGGACTCCCCATAGCATCATCATCATCCGAGTAGAGGAGAATCATCTCCGACGCTTAGGGGTCAAACCCAATATTTTGTAGTTCTTAGTTGACATTGCGAATATCATTGTTCCTTCACCATCCGTACCCATCATCATTATTATTGCGCACACCGCTTGCTATCGCGTCACTATTAGTTTCCGATACCCCAAACCCGAAAAACATCAGACCCGATGTAGGGATTCATTTCTGGCTGGGCTTGCAGAGACTGTTTTTACCTTAGTGTTATATTTGCACTTTTGTAGCTTACATAATCAAGTTATCTTTTCAACAGTTACCAGTATGAGTCTGAGTACTCAGCAAGTTTCTATCATATTTCCTCTCCTCTGAGCCTTGAGCCTGGTCCAGAAACCCTTTAGGGTCGAATAGCAGCTAGGTTCTGCAAGACCCAACATTGTTCAGACTCTCCATTTGAATTGTTGTACCCACACCGACGCTTTTGCATCAGACATCGTAATTGTACCTTCGGACATTGTTTCCTGTGCTCGGATTATTGACCTCACATCACCCACTGACCCCCAAAACTATTCCCAGACTGCAGACCCCTGGGTCGAACACATTTGTCACCAAGTATAGCAGACTAGGCAGTACAAGATCACAACATAAAGATATCAGTTTGGAGCCATCTTTGTATAGCCCCACTCTGTGTTGTATACCTACACCGCACCTTTAGACATTAGCACACCCCACTTAAAGTCTATCTGTAACATAAAGCCCAATGAGACCATACAAAGTTACTGTACATGTAGGCATAACCTTTGCTTATCTGTGAAGATCAATGAATCTCAATGATTGGCAGCACTGTCATGCTTTCATTGTTAGAACCATCCTAGTTTGTAACATCTGTGAACTTATGACTATAAACTTGTGTCTCTGTTTCTTTGCTTTTTCTCTCTTTCTCTCTCTCTCTCTCTCTCTCAATGTGTATGTGTAGTGTGTTGGCAACTGTCTGTGCTAACCATCTCTGTGATCACTGTCTCTGTGTTTTGTGATCATTGTTGCTAACAGTCTCTGTGATTGTGTTAGCATTTCTGTTTTAGTGGTTTTTTTTTGTTTCTTTCTATTAACTCTCTTAAGTACCAAATTTTCAGTCTCATTCTTATTCCAGAAGTTTGATGTTGTCTCTTTTGTCTACTGAAGACTTAGGGTAGTCTTATGGGGAGACTTTAGACATTGACAGTGACACCTGACCTCATATATCTGCATGTCATATGGAGTCAGGGTAGTCATTGCAAGTTAGACTTTAGTTATTAAAGAGGTGACTTAATATTGAAGTCCAAGGATGCCCATTCCTGAGTCTGTTTAATACTCATCATGAGTTCCTTGGTAGCAGGTACAATATTAGGCTAAGAGTTTTATAGAGGCTTTGACTAGGCCTGACAGTAGTTTCACCTGTCTTTGTGTTGAGGGAGAATCTCATTGTAACTCCACATAACTTGCTACACTAAGTTTGTATATGAATCATTGTTGCTGTATGAAGTGTTAGGAAGAATGTCTGTTTCTTTTATGTCACTACTATATTGTTGAAGTGACTGTGCCCCTTAATATTTTTGTTATTGTTATTGTTAATTACTAACTGACTGGGTTCTGTTTCTCTTATCACTGTGTTTTATATATCTGAGTGGCACCATTAATCTTACTAATTAGTAAATATATCATATATCCCATCTTGTTACTAGTTAGTGACACAAATCACTGTTCCCTCATACCAGCAATAATATCAGCAAATCAGTGGTCCCTCAGGGAAAATTGGAGCTCCCCATAGCAGGGATAAGGTGCTGTTGCCATTATTACCCTAAATAGGTATGAGCAGAAATCTCTGAATGCAGTCACTAATTCCTTGTCGCTGCGCTGCACTTTCTCACAGCTACCCATGCTCATTGTGTGTAATGTTGAGCTTGTGTCTTTCACTCATTTTCTACTCAATTTTTCCTGGACCTTCTTTATTCCACCTTTCTAGGCCGCAATACCATTTTCTACACTTCAAGACCTCTCATTACTGCCAGATTGTCTTGCAGGTCATCTATAGTGGTGAGCTCATTGCTTCCCTCGTCATTTACACTCATTTTCTACTCAATCTTTCCTAGACCTTTGTTATTCTATGTTTTTGTGCTGTGGATATAATGTCCCATGCTTCAAGAGGTCTCATTGTTGCTGAATTGTCTTGCAGGTCATTGGTTGTGGTGAGCTCATTGCTTCCCTCATTGCTCACAGTTTTTACATCCATGTTTTACTAGGTATTTGTTATATTACACATGCTACCATCTACTCTCTCGCCATCATTTATTCTTGTGCTTGTCTGGCTCCACCTCGCATATGTTCTGCACTCATATCTCCTCAAACCCCATACCGAGGCTCAGTGTATCAAGTATGGCAGGTTCTACAACCAGGATGATATGGATTGTGTGGCTTGCCGGACCCATTACCTTCAATCTTGCCACCAGGTGTGATCACTGCACCACTAAAGGTCTTGTGAATGAATGACTTCAGAATATTGTTCTTGTGATGCCAAGATATGGATTGTGTGGCTTGCTGGGCCCAGTATCTTCAATCTTGCCGTCAGGCATGATCACTGTGCTGCAGGAGGTCTTGTGAATGGATGGCTTTGAAATATTGTTCTCACAATTCCCATACCCTTGTGCTTGTGTCATGGAAGAGGTGGTTGGAACTTGGCTGCATATTCACCTGGGGCAGAAAAATATTGTCTTCATATGGATTGTGTGGTCCATTGTTGATAACAGTGAGTTCCCCTTGATCAGGTGGATGGCTGCTTATCATATCTACAGGTAATGTACTGGAATGATCTGTTGATCAAGCTGCCAATGAACTCGCCTCTTCCTCCACCACCTCCTCTGCCTCCTCCACCGCCGCCACTGCCTCCTCCTCCTTCACTTCTGTGTCTTCCACTACTTCTGCGCTCTTTGCTGTGGAAGCCTTTTCCCAGTGCTTACGCGCCTTGTAGATTTGTTCGCCATGTGCCTAGTGTTCCTTGTTCTTGGCAATGTGTTCCATAAGCTTATCGCTTGTGAGCTTCGTCCATGAGCATGCTCCTTTGAAAAGTAAGTCATATAGCTTGATCAAGTCTTCACAACACCCAATCTTTCCAGGATTTTGAACAGTGCCAGGAAAATTTTCCAGTGCAACACCATAAGTTTTCACAATCTTGCCTTCATAATTATTGTAATTCATTTTAACCTTCTTTTTTGGTGGATGACTCAAAGTAGGAAGAATAATATCTGTATGACTAATGTTGGGAAATGGCCCTGTGAAGACCTGCGGCTCAACCTACCAAGTCCGTCCTGGATGTGCTGGCGGCACAGGCTAATAAGTTTTGTCAATGACAGTTGTTGGCTGGCTGTGCCAGCAGTATCTACATGAAAGTTGAGTAAGTCATGTTCATTATATGTTTTTTGCTTACCAAAATTTCCCACTACCCAGGACTCGACTTTAAGCACAAAGCGCTTTGGCTCCATGCTGAGAACATCTTTGATAAATGACCCGACCTTGGCTGTGTAAACAAGTTTTGGCTCGTGGTATTGTTCAACATCACCCTGAACCGCAATATACATTCCCTCAAGGACTGTACATGCTTGGATGCTAGTCCACTGTTTGACTACTGGTAAGTAACATATATGTGTATTATTTGATATAAGTACCTCAGTCTGCATTGTTTTGAACATTGCATTGACGTCCTTTTGTAATGCCTTAGGGTTTGCATGTGTAACCTTCACACACGACATGCGAAGTGTATTAACATTCTCCAGCGGTTCTTGTCGGCCAGCGTCAAGTGCAAATAGCTGGACACCAACTGTGTCCTATTGGCCTTGATAAATGCAGGAAGTTTTAGTTAATCCCCCAGCACGTCCTTTTATTTGCATCAGTCCTGGTGCAAAAAAAATTATGAGTTGGTACTTGGTAAGTACCTTCATTCTTGTCATTTAGTTTTTGTCTGACAAATGCATTCCAAGGATCAGCATGGCATTTGTTGAAAATGCTTTTGCTGGCATGGAGTTATCTTTGTGTCCACTTCAAAGTTCTGTTTGACAGTGAGTACTATGAACCTTCCTGTGAAATAATTGATCTTACTGGCCATTTTCTTTGGCAATAGTACAGGCCTCCTCTTGGTACACATTTTGCACTGTTGTGATAGCATTGGTGAGCTTCACTAGTCCTTCATGACAGGCAAACTTTTGGACATCTGATAGCTTGGTGCGGACATGTTTGGATTTGGATGTTGACACAGTGACCATGGATAGTGTGTGTTGAGAATGGGGTATCTCATGTTTAAAGGACATTTAATTATACTTTGTAATTATAAATTTTATTTCATTTGGAAACACTTGAGCCCAAAAATTCAGAGTGGGCATTAACATTTCATATGAAAACACTTGATCAGACATCCACAAAACCTATCAAATTTTAGGCACTGATATACTACAGTTATGCTAATGATAACAACAGTCTACATACTAATCTTCTTGGTTGATTCTCACAATGATTCCCTGAATAAAATGAATAAGACATTAAGCCCAGCATTGAGTGAACGACTTACATTTTGTATGAAAATGACTGGCTGGTTATTCACTACAGTGTTGTATAGTGGGGGTAACCCAGATTGTTCGGCACCTAGACTCTGAAGACCATCATACACAGAAAATGACGATGGAAAGTTCGAGTAGGGTTGGCTCCATATTGGCCCACGGTGCCAACACTGGCTTCTTGTTCAGAATCAAAGTGAGATGTGGAATCATGAGGTGCTTCCTGCATAGCCATAACTACATTGGTCTTAAAATAAGTTCAGCAAAGAGCCACTGAAAGGCCACAAAAAACACTAACCTCAACAGACAACTCTGAAGATAAAGACTTCAAGGTATTGCAAGAAGGGTTTTGAGTGGCTGCAATATTTGGTCATGCTAGTGTGGGTCACTGACAAGTAGAAGGTGTAGTGTGCTGACAGGTACTGGCCATAGGTCAATGACAACGAGTAGTCACAGTAGGTGTGGGCTGTTGCTGAGTAGTTGCAGAACCTGTAATGGAGCAGTCTAGTCCTTTAGATGGAGTCATGGGCATGGGCTGCCGACAAGTACACTGAGGACTAGGTGCTGTTGTAGCACTTGTAATGGAGCAGTCTGGTCCTAGATACCAAGTCTCAAAGTCCGGACACTGTAAAACTTTAGCTAAAGTTGGTGTAAGTTATGGAGTAGTGCATCTTGCAGTTGTTGATATATTTTGACGAATCATAGCAGGAGTATGGGACTCTTGAATAACTGCAGGAAGGGGAGGAAATGGTAGTGAAGCACGACTTTTATCCTGGAAGATGTTGTTTTGAGTGAAACCTTGAAGAAAATCAGAGTTCAACATGAATCACAAAAGTTTGAGACACGTACCTGAAGTGCTGGGTAACTTTTCCAACTACTATCAAAAACAGTCTTGTGGACCCTGTCTACAATCGAGGAAGCAAAAATCTCCTCCAGTAAGTCTATCATCAGATCTAGATTTACGTTGTTCAATTGCCATTGCACGGTTTCCAAAGAAGCAACTTTTTGTGTGATGATGAGGACAGTGGGCTCATCTGGCCCATTACCAGGCAGTACTCTTGGCAGTCCAGGCCTATGTTGATGAGAAGCGTGTTGTGGCTCAGAGAAAATTTGCGCCTCCAGTGTCACAGTGATACTAGTTGCCTGAAATCCAAGGCAATATTCCAGTAAAATTAATCCTAGTTTGCAGCAAGATAGCGCAGGACATACCATTTTATGATAGTTACAGGCTAGATCAAGCCATTAGAGGCTTGCAATTGAGTTCTCAAACATTGGCATTGAAACTATGTCTGCTGGGAGATTTGAGTCTACAATGAAGAGTGTAATTAAAAGGTTCTGAGGGGAATGAATGACGGACTTATTAGTATGCTGCAAATGATGTGGTCATGGTGCAGTCCCAACATATCTTGTCCTATAGTGATGGATAGAGGCTGTCATTGGTTCAAATAGTTAAATAGATTCATGTATGTCAGTGCTATGTGATACATACAGATGAGAAATGACCATGTCACTCTAGTGTTTGAAGCTTTTGCATTGAATGGAGGATTGAACATTTCAACTCAGACTCAGACTCAGCCTGAGATTGAAGAGTCTGAGCTAGAGACTAGAGTTAGTGACATGCATAGTACTGTCAATTTTATACCATTCATGCCTAGGATTGAAGAGTCTGAGTTAGAGTTAGTGACTGGTACTGATAGTTAAGCATTAAAGCCTCAAATGTGGTAAGTTGAACATTGAATGGTCTTGGCAGCTATTATCATATTGGTTGCAGCATGGCTGTCAGAAACACTAGGCTCACTTGCTCTTGAGTGAGTGTACCTACCTAGTGTTTCTAACAACCATGCTGCAACCAATATGATAACAGCTGTCAAGATCATTCAATATTCAACTTACCACATTTGAGGCTTTGATGCTTAACTACCAGTACCAGTCACTAACTCTAGCTCAGACTCTTTAATCCCAGGCATGAATGGTATAAGATTGACAGTACTATGCAATACATGATTCTAAACTAGCTGCTTGGTCACATAAGATATCATCTTCATCAACTTTAATGGGTGTAGCACACTGTAGCCTATCAATCATTAGAGCTCTCTGGTACAAAAACACTACTAAAACTTGGTATTGCATATATTGCCTGAAGGTGTGCACAGTGAATGTTGTTAATATGCACACGTTTATCATGCAGATGGCGGATCTCACATGAGAGAGCAGGTTGATTGACTTCCAATGATATTGCAGTATTGAGTAAGTGAGCATCCTCGTCCTCAATCCACCATTGAAGATAAGAGATCTCAACATTGAGATGTTCAATTTCTTTGCGCACATGAACTATCTTAAAGTATTTGCCTGCGACCTCCCTGTTGGATTTTGAGACCCAAGGTTTGGTTAAGATTTCCTGCCATGAGCTTTTGAGCAGCTTGAACTCACCAAGCCATGTGTACAATGCAACATCACTGAACTTCAGTATATCGCATGGAGGGGATTGTAAAGGCGCAAGTCGGTTGTAGTGTTTGAGCACATTGCGAATCACAGTGGAATGGCGAGTTATTGCATTGGATATCTGTTGGCACATTTTATAACCTAGCATAATCAGTAGGTAGTAATGCATATCATGATGATACACATACCTGTACCAGCCAAGTTGGCCTTGACAAGTTCGAACAATCTTTGCACAACCAGTCCTTCAAGATGTTGAACTACACATATAAACCATCAATTATTCAGATATTCAAGCACTTCTTGATATTCAGGACCATAGGGTGTCCAGTGTTTCATAAGATCAAGCCAGTGCTCTAAGTCAAGAACCACGTTCATTTCAAGAGCAAGTTTGTTATGGGTGGCTCAACGTTCAGCTTCACGTGCTTTAGTCACAGCTTGTGGACCTTTGCATAGACCTGAGTTCTGTGTGAAATCGGCTGGCGCATATGAAAGAAATTGAACGGAAGTGATGCTACCATATTCAGCTCTATAAATAAATATATCAGAAATAAAGAACTTGGACACACGAGGCACCTACTCGGCCTTGGCCAATGACTGCAGGACTTTGACGTATGTGAGCCTCTTGGGATCATACTCTGGTTCTGTAGCAAGAGCTTCAAGGTATTGCAGTTCTTTGATATTCCATTGCTCAAAATTAGCATCTGAAAGATCAAGCTGTTGTTTCAACTCCTTGATGGTGGGTGTGAGTTTGTTAATAACATGAAGCACTTGGTGGTAGTTGTTGTACAAAAACTGACCTACATGAGAAATAATGAGTTTGTTTGTTTATTGACTTGAGACCCAAGAAGTTGAACTTACTGAGTTCTTCATAGCAATCTTGATCCCACTGATCAAATTGAAGATCAATGAATTGCAGCCAGTAAAAATGTGATGCATGTCGTATAAGTGGTGCAACAGTGTTTGATCCCACAAAGACATGCTCACAAGTCTCGAGATCTTCAATTCCAAGACCTTTCTGATAAAGTGTATGATACTGAAAGTTGACAACAGCGATTGTGAGCATGCCCATGAAAGGCATTGACAATGAAATGATGGTTAGTGTGCTTGACTTTATCATTGATGGAACTCACAGTGATTGTCTTAGAAAAAGAACATCTGATGTCATAGCCGGTTAAACCATTGGCTCCATATACATCAATCAATTTATTTGCTATTGCGAGAGCATATTTTGCACTTCATAAATACATATAATAGCTTGAGCAAGTGAAATGAAAGAAAAATTGTACATACAGTTCACCACTTCGTCAAAGTTTAACTAGAGTTTGAACAATACCATGGCGACATGCACTAACAAAGACACCAGTCTGATTGAAGACATTAGTGCTATTTTCAGATGTCATATTGGTAGCCTTCCAGTTTTCAGTACAGGTCAAGTCATTTGAAGTTTCAACATTTGATTGATGAATCTCATTGCCTGCAGTAGTTTGGGTGCCTGGGCAAAGGCAAACATCATCTTTAAATAACTCTACCTCAGCAGTGGGAATGAGATAAGAAGATTGGAAGGAACGTTCGTCGGCATGGCCAGAACTATCAACGTGTTTCAGTGAGCTGTTGCCATCAAAGGTGTCAAGCCATACAGGATAGAGAGGTGGGTCATTGGGTTGCTGTCATACACAACATGGTAAGTATACTTGCAACAAATATAAGCTGCGTACTTTGTAGTTGCATGGTGGGCATGCATGGAGTATACACCAGTGTGGCATGTCTCAACCTAGTCCTTGATCAACAAGATTTTTCACCTCATGCACAATGGCAAGATATGCATCAAATGCAACAGTAAACTGATTGTGTAATGACTGGAAATAAGTGTGCTATTCAAAATCAGGAAGTAACAATCGGAATAAACACTGGAAACTTACATTGTGAAGTGCACATAGCACCTTTACCATTGCCTGCACACTGAATGATGGCTTTCTTTAGCATATTTGGTGATAAAGTTCTAGACAACCCAAAGAAATTGCAAGTGTAGGTTGAAGAGGCAAGCAGCCGAGATAGCCAGACTTCAACAGTGATACATTGGCAAGTTCATTGTGGGCTTAGTCGACGAATTGTTCAAGTATGTTACCTGTAGATATAATAAGTAGCCATTCACTTGATCAGAAGGGAACTGACTAATATCAACCACAGTGACATGAAAAGAAGTGGTTGGTGCTTGAGTGGATGGTAAACAAGGATTCTGCTTCCACAGCAAGAATGCCTTGGTGAGTGATGGCATCTGATCCTGTCATGCAGAATGCATGGCATGGTTGCGCATGAGGCAGCTGCGAGGTGCACGTCTATGACGGTGTCGACCTTGAATACTACAATAAGTCAGACAGTGAAAAAACAGGCAATACAGACATAAGAAACCATATCATTTGAATACTTGTGTTCATGCTGCACTAACAGCGTGTCGGTCATGTCTAGCAACTGGAGGGTGCATCTCACTACCCTTGTCCTCTTCCATAGAGTCATCACTATCAACTACATCACCATCCATAGCCACCACTACACCAATAATATCACCAAGGTCTGCAAAGGAGTCACCAACATTGTTTGAATAATTGTTTGTGTAAAGGGTGGCCTCAGCAAAAACTTGTTGTGCAGCAGCACTGAGCTCTGGTTTTCTTTTGTCAGTATTCAAGAAGTATGAAAGATGTAAGCTACATACCTCAGTGACTCTGCAAATTTTCCGGTTCAAGTGCAAGCCAATCTACATAAATCTTACTGAGGTTAGCTCTCAATGTTTTGGATGTACCTGTATTCGTAATGACTGTTTCATAAATGAAGCCAAAGGTCAAATTAAATTTACATTTGCAGTGGGACATGGCAGAAGAGACAATGAGGTGTGGGAACCACAACAAAGTAGGAGCATGAGGGTATGGGAATTGTGAGAACAATATTTCAAAGCCATCCATTCACAAGACCTCCTGCAGCACAGTGATCATGCCTGACGGCAAGATTGAAGATACTGGGCCCAGCAAGCCACACAATCCATATCTTGGCATCACAAGAACAATATTCTGAAGTCATTCATTCACAAGACCTTTAGTGGTGCAGTGATCACACCTGGTGGCAAGATTGAAGGTAATGGGTCCGGCAAGCCACACAATCCATATCATCCTGGTTGTAGAACCTGCCATACTTGATACACTGAGCCTCGGTATGGGGTTTGAGGAGATATGAGTGCAGAACATATGCGAGGTGGAGCCAGACAAGCACAAGAATAAATGATGGCGAGAGAGTAGATGGTAGCATGTGTAATATAACAAATACCTAGTAAAACATGGATGTAAAAACTGTGAGCAATGAGGGAAGCAATGAGCTCACCACAACCAATGACCTGCAAGACAATTCAGCAACAATGAGACCTCTTGAAGCATGGGACATTATATCCACAGCACAAAAACATAGAATAACAAAGGTCTAGGAAAGATTGAGTAGAAAATGAGTGTAAATGACGAGGGAAGCAATGAGCTCACCACTATAGATGACCTACAAGACAATCTGGCAGTAATGAGAGGTCTTGAAGTGTAGAAAATGGTATTGCGGCCTAGAAAGGTGGAATAAAGAAGGTCTAGGAAAAATTGAGTAGAAAATGAGTGAAAGGCATAAGCTCAACATTGCACACAATGAGCATGGGTAGCTGTGAGAAGGTGCAGCGCAGCGACAAGAAATTAGTGACTGCATCCAGAGATTTCTGCTCATACCTATTAGGGTAATAATGGCAACAGCACCTTATCCCTGCTATGGAGAGCTCCAATTTTCCCTGAGGGACCACTGATTTGCTGATATTATTGCTGGTATGAGGGAACAGTGATTTGTGTCACTAACTAGTAACAAGATGGGGTACATGATGTATTTACTAATTAGTAAGATTAATAGTGCCACCCATGAATGACCACATTATCAGCCATCAGTATTTGTCTGAATCACTGACCATAGAGATATTTGGTTTTATAGGTGTTTATCTATAGATCATCTATCAAAAAATACAGCACAAGTGAATCTCATAATACCATTACATCCTTTTGCCTTAGCAACCCAGCCACCAATTAATATCAGTGCTACTGTGGAATGTGCTACTTATATGACAGAAGATCACATTCTTTCAGGTGGTCCAAGTCCCCTTATACCACCATCATGATTTTTTGTATTCGTGAAGCCTACATTTCCTGCTGTAAAGAAACTAACAGCTCAATCAACTTCTTCTGATGCAAAGGAATCATACAAACACCACAATGTGGGTATTCTGACACTGAGAAATGCCCTAACAGATTCTGATAGGAAAAAACAGCTGGTCAGCAATGGAATGGGAAATACAGTGCAGATAAAAACTATGTTGCATGGCCACAAGGAAGGAGTACCAGTGACTAACCACATTTACCTCATGACATCTGATTCAGGTCCTGTTTAGTCAATTCTACTTTAATGGCTCATCATCTGACTCCTAAAATTTATTGAGTGCATGTGCAACTGATGGCAACCCAAAAGGCTCAACAGTGTGTCCATCAGGAAGCACTTGCTGATGATATTGATACTGCCAAGGAGTCATATGAAGCAGAGGCTGCTAATATAGCCAAAAAAACATGGCCAGTGAGTTTGCATTATAAATATCTTATTGCTGACATATATTAATTGCCCTATAGATCAATCAATTGGACCAGAAACCAACTATTTCTTTACAGTCATATACTACAGATGACCAGAGGTGTTATGGTGGTAGTGTGGAACCTGGGCAAGGACATGTCACATAATGAGTAAAAGCAAGTGGCAGCAAAGACTAATTAACAAGGTTAAAGTAATGATGGTGCAGACAAAAGGACCTATATGAGACCATAGAGGATCTCAACAATGACATCAGATGTCCATTAAGAGAATGAGCATTGAAGGAGAGCAGAGATTTGGACTGAAAACAAGTGGGATAGCAAGCATGTCATTAAGAATAATGTGGAGAGTGAAGGAGACACGTGTCAGAGGCATCAGAGGCATCAGAAGGTGTAAGGATGGCAATATACCTTATAGCTTCTAGCAAGATATTATCCAGGGCAATGAGAAGAAAAAGAGAGCTATAGAATGCAAAAATATTAAAAGAGCTACCAGACATCCATCAGAGGCCTAAAAACAAAAAGAACAGCCAAAATTGGACCAGGAATGAGCAAGATAGCAAGCACATCATTGAGGATAATGTGGAGAGTGAAAGAGAGAGGCATAGGAACCATCAGAAGGCATAAGCAGCAGCATTATACTTACTGCTGAGGGAGATGTCCAGGGAGATAACAAATCAATAGTCTAGATAACCTATTTATATTATATCCTAATTTACTCACCCTTTTGATATTCCTAAAGTCACTGCTGAGTGCTGTAGCTATTGCTGAAGTACTGCAGCATAGATTTACCCCCCTTATTAGTAACAAACATGTTATACTATATATGTTACTAACAAGTGTAGGGACAGAGGTCACTCAGATGAAATAAACAGCAGCATTATGGCATGACTTCCTTAAATGGTATTTTCTATTCTATTGTCTTGTATTCTGCAATATTCTAGCCTACAAATAGCCACCCAATGTTGTTTTTTTAGGTCTGGAATCCTACTTCTCAAAACTTCAAGTAGCTGTGTATTAAGGCTTTCTGGTTTATGTACGAATAAAGCCTTGTATCTGAAATTTTACATTAGCATTCTCTTGGTTGGGATAGTGGTGATGTGGGTATAGAAGGTTAATGGGAGAAATCAAGGGCAGCAGCACCTTTTTTTAGTCATAATTTATGTTCTGTCTGATGTCTTTGATGGCAAAGTATAGGAACAGGCATGGTGCATGATCTATTCCTGCCAATCTCAGGAACCATGGGTACACATTTGATAGCATTGTCAGGTGTGGGAAGCCACCAGAGGTAAATGTGGTAGCTTTCTCAACACCAATATACATTTGAACTCACATGCAGCAGCAGCAAAAGCAGACAGCAGCCTACTCTGAGCTCTTCTATTATTTATCCTAACCATTGTTCATAAGTAGCTACTAAGTCCTCTCCATATGTATCTACATCCTCTGCTTCCATGGTTCTAACATATGTGACATAAATGTCACAGGAATTACCCTCCTCCACAACACCCTTTGACTTTCTGACAAACCTTTCATATATTTCTTTGTCTTCAGGTTCTGCTTCATCATTGCATGCCTCTAGCAAAGCAAAACACTGATCAACATATCTGAAAAAGCTTAGCTACTGTCTCTATTATAACCCAGACAAACTCACTTCAAATACTCTGTTTGCTCCTCGACTGGCACGTCTGGATGCAACAACCTCTTGGCAAGCGCAGCTGATGAGCGAGGATCG